ATGATGGTTCTGGAACTAGACTGGGATGGCAGAGCGTGCCGCCATGCTGCCCCTGAGGGCCCGGGAAAAGCACCCAGCCCACAAGCCCTATATGTGGAAGAGATTCATAATAGGTGTGTGAACCAGAAAGGATATCCCAAATCCCCCTGAGAAAACTGTCCCTGTTAGAAAGGGCAGGATACCCTAAGGTGAAGCTATGCATGGGGGTAGGGCTGCGTCAGAGGCAAGGGGCAGCCCAACGCGAGCACCCATCAGGCTGGGCAGAGATGGCCTTTGTGCCCATGATCTGCTGCCTGGGACCCATGTGGCCTCCGCTCTTTCTTCAGCCACTTTTACTAAGAAAGTCAACTTGGTGACTGCACTTTGCCCCCTGCATCAGGTGGTGTTCTCCCCACTGGTTTGGGGATAGCACAGAGCTTCTCCCATCTGCCCACATGAGAATGAGTGGCCAGGCTCAGGGCCTGGGAGCGGAGCACAAGTCTTCCTTGAGCGGTCAGGGCTGTGGGAGTCTGGTGGGCGTATCTGTGTCCATGCCTTCCTGGTAATGCCCTGGAGGCCCTAACTCCGGTTCCTCAGATCTCACATCTAAGAATAGACCGTCTATAAGTGCGCAGGTAGGTTAATGTCCTCAGTGATAGAGGTGAACACAGACGTGCGCACTCGTACCACACAGGCTCTCAAGGGTGGGTCTTATTCGGAGAAAATGCCAAAATACTGCACTCAAAGCTGGACCCCTACACCAGCTCCTCCTGCAGGCTTCTCACCTCAGTGAACAGCGATTCTACTTCTCAGGCTGGCGTCTCCGACAGACACTCCTTTACACCCCACATCTGGTCTCTCACTACAAGCTGTGCCTCTCCCTTCCAGACAGATCAGTGCTTGGCCACTTCTCACACCTGCCCTGCGACACCTGGCACAACATCCCAGCAGCTCTCCCAGTCTCCCTGCCTTCCCCAGTCTTTCTCAACATAAGAGTTGAGAGTGCATGTCAGATCAACAGACTCCACTGCTCAAAGCTTTCCATTTCTGAATAAACACCCAAATCTGAGCGTGACCTACCCACTCCCTACCTCCCTGGTCTCCTCCTACTATGCGCCATCTCCCTCTCTCCACTCCAGTCACATGGCCTCCTCGCTACTCAACGCCACCACCAGGCACATGCAGGTCTCAGGGCCTTTGCGCTTGCTTTTGCCTCAGCCTCTTTCTTCCCCAGGTATTGATGCAGTTTGGTTCCGTCACTTCCTTCAGGTCTCTACTCAGAGGTAACTTCCTTCAAGACCTTCTGGACCACCCTACCTGAGAGTTAACCCCTCCCCTACCCCCACAAGTCATAGCCCCTTTCCTTGCTTACTTTCTCCCCCCCTTCTGAACATTTATCACTAGCTAACATGTTTTACTCATCTTGTTTATTACTGGATTTCTCTCAACCAGAATATAAGCATCACGAGGGCAGGGAATTTTTTTTTTTGTATGTTTTGTTCACTACTGTGTCACCTAGGATGAAGCCTGGCACATGGTAGGCATTCAGTAGATAATTGCTCAATGAATGACGGTAAAAGCGAAATGGTAATTTTCCAGGTCTCAAGAATCAAAGATCGCTGGCTACTTTGGAAATGGAATCTTGCTACAGTGGTGACCAGGTCAGCTCAGACAACACAAGACCTGAAATAGGTATTGTAGAAAAGGATCAAAATAGCCCAAGAGCCCTAAACAGTCAATGAGGAAATTCTGCATATTTGTTCGAAAGTGTAAACCTTCCCAGATGCGAGAGATGGGATAGGCAGGAGTCCTTGGCCACAGTCCGGTCAGGAAACCCTGAACCACGTTAAGTATTGCACAGAGGGGATTTCAGTTACAGACTCAGCATCACTGGTGTGAGAGCACTGAAAAAGTGAAAATGGACACCTTGGTCACTCAGAGCTAATATCCAGCAGGAAGTATCCATCTCTGCCCCCTTGAGCTGCAGCACATGAAAAGAAGAGGAGATACATCAGACCCAGATGAAGAAAAGGGTAAAGTGAGAGGCCAAGATTCCAAGGAGAAAGGATGGAGGACAGTATCCCTGAAGTCAGCCTTGCCCTAACAGAAGGTCAGGAAGGTGAGCTAGTGAGCACCATGCCTCCATGCGGTTCAAGTATCTCTGGACAGGTGTCACCATGCAACACAAAAGCCCACTTGGAGGTCCCAAAGCCTAACATTACAGTGCATGAGCAGAAGAGAGAAAAATCGCATTCTCTCCCCCTGCAGTATAAATGTCTCCCCCACTGCAATACTTCAGGGACTAACAGAAAAGGCTCCGTATCCCTTCAATTGCAGATTCAAAGCAAGTATGGGCCAAGGTTTCACACCTTCTGAAGGTATTCAGTGGTACATTTACAAGAGCTACCAATATGCAGCCAGCGTCAGCTCTGAAACCCAGATTTCCTCACAAAGCTTTTTAATGAAACTAGAGAGCACAAATCTAAGCCCAGAAATATTTTAATAAACTTAAACCAAGGAAATCTGATAGGAAATTATACCGAGAAAACCTGGCATTTCCAATGCAACACACACATCTAGTTGCCTTTTGTATTTAGTTTGTATACCCAGATAATCTTTTTATGCAAATAATAAATCTGCATGGAAATAAGGTGGACTCTTCTTTTACATTACTGTGATGAATTTTACCTAGCAAATGATTTCCCTTGGCTTACATGGATCTGAGAAAGGAAAAGGACTTCCCCTGGGATTGTACAACAAAACTCAGGTGGTGCTGGGGGAGGGACTAGCTTGCCTCCATGCAGAGAATCAAGGACAAAATGGAGAAAAAAGGTCCCAGGCCTCCATCTCCTCCCCTCCAGAGGATGTCGAGCCTGACCTTGCAGTTCAGCCAAGGGCTTATAAAGTCCTTTACACCCAGCCACTGGTCCCCATCCTCACCATCCCTGGCGGCTGCCCCCGCGGACTGCCACATCTAATACCTAGTTCCAATTTCCCTCTCCTTTAGATAATTGAAAGCAACTCTCATAGCCCTTCAGTGTCTTTTCTCCCCAGTAATCCCCCTTCTTCCTAAACACTTTTTCACTTGTAGGTGGTCCACTCTTCAGTGGTACTCTCTGTGTATCTACACCTCAGGAACACCGAACTGACCCAGCACAAATGAGCACAGAAGCAACAGAGCCGGGCACGTGCATGGCAAGTCAAGGGCCTCACACCCACCTTCCTTCTGCTCCAGGTAAAACTTTTAACTACCATGTCCCAGGGTGGCAAAAGCCTCACCCTCCTCCCCGCCCACTGTCTGCAAGTCTCCAGAAGCAGCTGACACTGAGGGGAACAATGACGATAACTATCATCAATGGAGGGCTTACTAGACACTCTACTCTGCATTTGAATCCTCACACACACAAAAGTAAGTAGGCAATACGTACTATGTTACAGGGCAGAAGCCAAATGGAGCGCCTGGGCTGACAGGTGCTGGGCCACCTGAGCCGAGTGAGACCTGGAAGGCAGAGCGGAAGGTAGTGCTCTGGCAGCTCTCAGGGACTCCAATTTATTTATGGCCCGCCTTGTTCCAGAAAAGAGGTAAGTCACTGAACAAACTGTGGTTCCTTCATCTAATCTTGCCTGATTTGGACATTCATTTGTTAAATTTAAAAATATAATAATATATACACCCAAATTGCAAATCCAAGGGAAACTGCTTCCATGCTTGAAATAATACTAAACTATCTCCAGAATGGCTATAAATGGGAGAATCTAAGGAGCGAAGAGAAGCCTGAACGGCAGACCATCTCACTCAGGGCCTTCAAACTTGCTGGCTTTGGGAGCCTTGCCAAACGATGTGTTTGCCAGAGGATGTGTCATGGGAACGAGCTAATGACCCATATAATTCACACTCTGGGGTGGGGGGCTATCAGCAGGGGGAAGTAGAGGTTACCTTAAGACCTCAGGCAAACCAGCAGCTAAGGAGACTTTGTCCTGGCCACACCCTCATCTTCAGTAAATGTCATCAAAGGTGCAGTAGGCCACAGCTTAGAGCACTACAGAAAGGAAGGCTTCTGGGTGAAGTGTCACCAAGCTGCAAGTGGTCACACAGTGGGGGTAAGGGAGGAGGAGTTGCTCAGAAGCCCTACAGTCCTCCCAGGCCCTTTCTCCCCGCTTTTAATCCTTCCCATCTCAACTTTAGCTCGCCTCTTCCAACGTCCTCTCTGCCTGGCCTCCAAAGGGCAGCCCGAGGGCTGGGCGTCAGCCACGCAGTAGGAAACGGGAAACCACAGCAGTTCTCTGAAAACTCCAGTCCCCACGAGCCAGGACCAGTCACAAGGCCAGGGAGGAGGCTGCCGCAGTGAATCAAACCCGAATGTGGGCCCACCCTAGGGTGTGGACCCCAGATTTCCCCCGCAGCTGCCCGTGGGGCTGCCCCTCCCGAGGAGTGACAGAAAGCTGCGTGGCACTTCGCACTCAAGCTCTTCTGTCACCAGAGACAAGAGGCGCGGCCCCTCCCAGGGGAGGGCGCTGAGGGCGGCTCCCAGAAATGACGCGACCCCCGACTGGACACTGTTGTGAACTCTTCCCAAACGTTTCCCAAGCCCCTACCGCTGCAGTCTGAGCGGGTCTGGGGTCGCAACCCGCCCTCCCGAGGGTGGGAGGGAGGCTGTCGCCACTCCGGAGCAGGGACTGAGGCTGAACGACCTGGGGGCCACACTGACACTGGCCGCCACACTGGTACTGTTCACTGACCCGTCCTTGGTGACGATCAGGGCACTTGACCTGCGGATCTCGGCCGGGAAGGCCTCAGGGCTCCATGGGCCGACTCCCCGTCTTCTTACCACTGGCGCCCTGGGCGCCTTTCATCTGGGGCAGAGTGTATAAGTGTTCCCTGTCCGTGCCGGAGACGGAGGGGAAAGCCTCAATCTCGGTTTAAGTAACTTCCCCTTTCCCTTCCCTGCACTTTAAAACGACCTCGCCACCACATCGCCGCGTGAGACCACCCCCCCCCCGGGTGCCCACGGCCCCCGCACCTTGGCGCAGGGGCGCGCGCGCCAGCTCGGGCCGGTCCTCGGGAAAGGCGTCGCGGAGGCGCTGCCACAGGCGGCCCAGGTCCGCGAAGCTGCGGTGCAGGTACAACACGCTGCGGTCCGACCACTCCGTGCGGATCTCGAAAAACTCCTCCTCGTCGCCGCGCCGGCTTACGATGAGCCTGCGGATACCGTTCACCCAGCATCCGCGCACGAACATGTTCACGAGCGAGGTGCCCTCAAACACCGCCGAGGCCATGCCGCGGGCCACTCATGCCCCCCGCCGCCGGGCCGCCCTCGGCCCCAGCCGCCCGCGGGCAGGAGGCTCGTCCGGGCCGCGCCGGGATCTGCCTGGGATCGGGGGTCCGTCCGAGGTCTGTCCGGAGCCGGAGTCGGTCTGGGGGCTGCCCGGGATCGGGGTCCGTCGGGAATCTGTCCCGGGTCCGCACCCCGCCTCCGCGCGCACTCACGAGACAGGGTGCGAGAGTCCGTCCGTCCGGCAGAGCTGCGGCTTTATAAGGCACTTCCCACCGCGGGCGGCGCGGCAGTCGACGTCGAGGCCGCTGCAGGGCCGCCTTCCTCCGCCTACGGGTGAGGGGGCGCGCCACGGCCGGCGCGCGGAGGGGGTGGCAGGCCCGCCGCTCCCGCCCCGCGCCGCCTACCCGGAGCCCGCGCTGCTGGGGCCGCGGGGACCCCGGGCCGCCCCGAGCAGGCCCGAAACCCGAGCGCTCGGCCCCGCCTCTGCACCCCCCGCCCCGACCCGGACCGCCCCCGTCGCTTCCTTTCCCCGCGGCCCCTCAGTCGCCAGCCGGTGACTGGAAGGAAAACTGGAAAAAGAGGGCGTGGCGGACCTACGCTCAGGGGTTCTCGGGGGAGACGTTTTTCTCTTTCCGTTTTTCGATATCCTCCGGCGCTCGCCGGGTCCGAGGACTCCTCGCCCCACCCGGCCCGCGACGGGGATGGGAATGCGCGGGTGTCGGGGCAGGGGCCCAGGGCTGGACGGAGAACGGAGGGAGACTGCAGGGCACACTGCGCACCCCGGGACCCGACGCGCCGGCGGCTGGGACTGTTGGCTTGGTCCTCTTCTCCGCGCCGCCGCCCACGCACCCAGGGAGCCCGCGCCCCGCACCCTCTCGCTCCGCGTACCCCCGCGCATTCCAGTCGTGCCACAGCCGGGCCAAGGCCAGGACGCGGCGGGAAAGACAGACAAGGGGGCAGGGCTCAGCGAGAAAAGGGGCGTCCCCTGAGTCCTCGGCCAGCAGCCAATGGGTCTCCCTCCGAAAGAGAAGGGGTCCCCTGTTAAGATGTACAACAGACCAGTGGTGGAGAAGGGCGACTCCGAGTGAGCCGGTGGCCATTTGTGAGATGGAGGGGTTTCGGAAGTCTAACTGGGAAACTGCCCACATTGAAAGAAAACTGGGATTCACAGCAGGCGGAATTCACAGCTTCCGGTCCCTTAGGCTCTTCCTAACTGGAAGATCATTTCAAGCGATAGTTTAAGAATTGTAAATCGGTTCCAGAAGTGGCCCATTGCCCTAGGCAGTGGTAGGCGAGCCAGGTGAGGCCCGAAAGCCCTTAGCAGCGTTGTAGAAAGTCTCCAAAGCCCAACTAGGACTAAGCGCAGGTTGCCCGTCACTTGACTGAATCTAGACCAAGATGGTCCTCATTCCCCGCCCTCCCCTCCCGCCGCACACATCACCACCACCAGGTTTTATTCAGACTTGCGGATATCATATCTTCAAAGTTCACCATCTAGGTCCAGCTTTACCTCCCTATGTTGATCACGCTCCCTGCTTGCCCTGTGAAAAATCTGCCAATCCCCCGTCCCGGCTGGCAACCAGTAAGTGTTGAGTGATTGATAGACTGACCACAGGAGTCCGTCCGGTGCAGGAAGGGACCTAAGGGCAGAGGCAGACGATGCTGAGCAAAGTTGAGTTACACCCCACCCCACCCACCCCCACTGAGCCACCCTCACTCATCCTCCCTGGACATACCCCCTTTTCTTTCACTGCCGCTGGCCTGGGCAACATCACTAGAACTTTAAGTGCCAAATTTAAAGTGTTTTCATGCATCCAGTTTTGGGGGCACCCTTTGCTGTATAAAAATCTTCGCTAGGAAGAATCAGGTCTTCATTCCCCTGTTTCCTAGGAAGCCTATCTTTATGAAGCTGCCCTTCAGTTTATGCTAGGCATTCCTGGTCAGTACAGAGAAGAAAGTATTTTCATATCACTGATGTTAGTCTAAAGAGAGCTAGCTGGAACTAGAGAAAACTGAATGGTCAAGTAAAAATAACAAATGCCCCAAAGTCACTTATAATTACAGAAATTCAAATTAAAACACAATGAACTGCCATTTTTAAATCCATTGCATTGATACAGATTTTTTTAATTTGTTAAGCTATAAAGCCAAGAGGATAGTTATCCTTTCAGTGTATGTCCTTTCAATGTCATATTGAAGCATTGTTTAAAGGCCCAAGGATTACTTAATTTTCTAGGGGACTGTACCATTGTTTGATGTTGCTATTTACTATTAATGAAAGGCTAAGACTCTGTAAGGTTATATATTAACTCGTAAATTTGTGCCTGGTGGAGATGCAAATAAAATAATTTTTGTTCCAAACAAAAGATAACCTCAAAGTTATGATTTATTGCCCTGTCAGACATTAACCACTTTTATATCTAGCCTAGAAATCTTTTTTTCATATTTTGTTAAGGACTATATTAACCCATTTTCCCAAATGGCTTTTGAAATCGCTTTTTCGTCTTACAAATTTTCTCATTAATTAATGAACTGCATAAGTTTTTGACACGTGCATTTCATATTTGTAGAAACATATTTGAGAGTCATATTTAACTTTTGAAAAATATACATGGGCAAGTCTGACAAGAACATGAATTTTTGCAGTTCTGGAGAGACATGTACCCTCATACACTGAGTTTGGGTGGAGCAATTGGAAAGGCTCTTTGGAAGGCAGTTTAGCCATAGCTGTTAAAACTCTGACAATGTGTGTAACTTGTGACACAACAATTCCTCTTCTAGGATTCAATGTTAGAGAAACATTTCCACATAGGCACTAAGAGAAAGGTACAAAGACATTCATTGTTTCAGTGTTTGCCAAAGTGAGAAAATGGAAATGACTTCACTGTTCATCAAAAGGGGAATGAATGAATTAGTGATGCATAAGCATGCTGGATACTGTGCAGCCACAAAAATGAATCTGTTATAAAAGTATGGATAGCACTCAGAAACAAAATGCCAATGGAAAAAATGTCAGTGGAAATGACTGATGAATATAGCATGATAATATAGATATATATGACAAAACAATACTAAATTTGGAAAGATACCTGCCAAACCCATAAAGGTGCCTTTGGGGTGGTAAACAAGTCAAGATGTGGAGGTGTCAAGAGGAACTTTGGCTTTATCTATATTCTTATAGACATTTCAAAATTAAATTAATGCACATATCACTTATGTAATTTTTAAAATATTTTCTGATGGCGATGGTGAAAGAATCTCTGAAATAAGTTCTACAACTTCTGGCTCCTGGTTCTGCCTAACTCCAGTTGTGTAATCTCAAACTGCTCACCTGAACTTTGTCGGGATTTGCTTTTCCATGAAAAACAAACATTTTTAAAGTCCATACTGTTGGGAGGACAAATAAACTGGTAGATGGCAGAAAGTGTGCTGTAAACACCTTTGAGGACCTGTGTTATATAAATGTTAGGAACAGATACAGAGGAGCTAGAGTGGTTTCAGGTTGTAAATCAAGCTATCAGCTAGTTCAATGCCTCAGGCTACATAATACAATGTGAAAACGGAGAACAAAGAGGAGCTCTCTGGGTCACTGTCCAGTCTTCCAAGTCTGGTGTAGAATTACGCAGGTATATCAGAGGAGGAGCCCTGGTTGTGGGTAAGAGCTTTGGAAACCAGATACTTCAATCCGATTAATAAGAGTAAATAGTGGGAATAAAAGACTTCACGAGATTCAAGGCCTTAACTTTCAAGGAGATGTTTATTTTTCTTCTGTGGCTGTTTTGTTTTGGCTTCAATTTTTTTTAAGTTCTACTTTTTCTACCTAGCCCTCAAAGTTAAGAGAAAGACAGTGCAAAGGTTGGTAGTCAGTCCTGCAGGTCACCCTCTGTGTCCCACCCACTCTGGACCTGGCAACATAGTAGGAAGCTGGGGGCAGCAAGAGTCTGAAAAATAAAATTGAATACTCAGACTAAAACCGAACGTGAGATTGTGGTGAGGGAGGTGATCCCGGTCCCAGGGTGACTCGAACACTATAGGTTTCACAATTTGTAACCACCCCTTCCAACTCTACCTTCCCAACATGTGAAGTTTAGAGCTAAAGAGCCTTTTTTCATCACTACCTGTGTTTGGGATGAGTTTCATAAACTACTCATATGAACACCATCATTGACTTTTATTCTGCTCACCAGTTGTTCTGGACACAGTGAGGTAATCAGTGAATATCCACATACCACAGCGGTTCTGTTTTTCTTCAAAAGGGTGGTAGTGATGGGGTCTCCCAGCTGTGATTTTCAGACCCATTAACTGATCTGATCTTCACAACAGCCCTCGGGGATGGTGAGGTAAAGGATAATTGCCCCTTGGCAGATGAGGAAACTGAGGGCTCCAAGAGGGTCTAAAGTCATCACAAACCCATGGCTACCCTCAAACCGAGGGCCTCCCTGCTGATCCCACCAGTTTCATCTGGCCTTGGTCCCAGCCATAGTGGCCTTCCTTCACCATCTCAAAGTGCCAGTGCCTTCCCACCCAGAGCCTGCTCCCAGGCGTGCCCCCTTCCTCCACTACCTGTTTCCACTCCTTAGTCTCTCTCATCCTTTAGGCCAGTGCTTCTCAAACCCTGATGTGTCCATGAATCCCCTGGGAGCTTGTTAAACAGCAGATCCTGATTTGGTAGACCTGGGTGGAGCCTGAGAGTCTGCTTTTCTAGCAAGTCCCCAGGCCTCACTGTCTGCAGGCTGCTCTGGATAGCAAGGCTGATTCCAGCATAAACCAGACAAAGTAAGTCTGGAAAATCTCAGGAAACACTGGTGTATAATTTCATAGTGCCTGCCCTGGTTCATAATTGTAACTAAGCATTAATTATGTTTTCCGGCCTGGAATGTAATCTCTATGAGGACAGGGACTATGGATCTCATGCATATTTGTATACCTGATGCCTGACACAGTGCCTGGCACATGGTAAATCCTCAATAATATCTGTTCAGTGAATAAGTGAGGGAAAGAAATGAAAGAATGAATGAGGTAGAGAGCCAACACTGTTCTTCCCAACAAAATGATGCCACTCCCTCAATTTCCCACAATTGAACATTTGGGAAGATTTCATAATCTATCATCAAATCTAGATTTTCCTAGAGACCCGAATCGCAGCCACTGAACCATTTTAAAAGGGAACAGACCAAAGTGTTCATGGTGACAATCTCTCAGGAATGGGATTTACACTTTTGTTTTCTTTTGTGCAGTTTTTGTGTTTTCCAAATGTAATGCAATAAATGAGCATTGTTGCAGTCATTCAAAGATAATATTAAAATTTCATCTAAGCAAATTTTTTTCTTGTACTATG